TTGTTTTCTCTGCTTTCCTTCTGGTGTTTTCCAACAAGGCAGTGCAAGAATTAAAAGCGTATTTTAATAGACGTTGACAAGAAGTGAACTAACAAACGCCCAGGCAGAGGATTTGCTTGAAAAGATTCAATCAGATGTGTTTGCTGGGATTAATTGGGGGTGGAGAGGTGAGGCGGGGGTACATGTGGAGGCTCTGAATAGGGCCAATTGTTTCTGTGGTCACCTGCGCTGATCGTCAGTCTGGGTAATAGTTTGGGAATGGCCTTTGAGTGGTCTGGGAGTTTACTCTTTAACCGATGTTTAGGCAAAACAGCAATCTTTAAACAGTTGACGGAGGGAGAAGCAAGATATCATTACTCTGAAATCATTACTGAAGGAGCTTCTTGTTTGGATCAGACTAATGTGTGTGCAAGGGTGAATTTGGGAACAGAATAACTAGTAGTGGAAATGCTTTAATTTAAAATCTGGTAATAAAATGCAATCCAAATTTCCTAAATGAATTTAGGCCCAATAAATCACACTCTATACATATAGAAATGTTTGCACATAGAACATACATAGCGTGGGTGATTTCTACCTGTCTGAGTTGGATACCAGCAATCTGTCTTGGGTGATCTGATCAGAAGTGGACAGCTGAAATGGAAAAATGTTCACGCTTGGTATTTTCCTGTGTCTCTATTTTTGTAACCTGTTACTGATATTGTTTCTGATAGTTTTGTCAGCAAAAGCAATATTTTTGCAGTTCCTGAGCAATATTTTGTTCTATGTCTAATCATGCAGGATTTAAGTTCTTTGTCCATTTTCAGATGTTCTGTAGTTAATGTGAGAGGAAGTAGTGCTAAATATTAGGTCCAACAAACCTATAAGTTATATAATTTGGTTTGTGTATGTTTGTCTTTACAGGAAAAACATGTTAACTGCAGAATCAAGAGAGTAAAGTCAACCTATTAGAGGGGTTTCACGAGTCATGACAAACTGGTATTATTTTGGAGATGATATTAAATATTACTGTGGAAATTTGACCCATTAGGGACTTTCATCTCTCCAAATCCTGGTTTATAGTGTGTAGTATTGGAGTAAAGTTGAGATTTCATTTAGGTTGGGTGTAATAAAAACACCTAGATATTTAATAATTGTGCTAGTATTTTAGGTTTTAGGCCCCCACTTTGAAACCAGAGTTGGTAAAATACTGCTAAATAAATAATAAATAATAAATGAATGACTTCTTTAGAATAGAGGACCATAACAGCAGTCCTAGGGACTCACTGGCCTGCACAATTTCAAGCTTCTTGTGCTCCCATTACCCTAAATCTTGATAATGAGCTCAGGGGCCCTTCATGAGCTGCATCAGATCAGCTGTGTTCAGGTGTTTCAGGAGCAGGAAAGCATGCATCTTTGCAAGACAGTGAGTTGAGAATCCCTGCCAATGTTCAAACTGCTTAATTAATGAGCCTACCAATGTTTACTAATATAGTAATAAAATTAACAATTAGTATTATTTAATTTAATTTAATTTAATTTAATGTATTACTTGCTTATAAATAGTTCATTACTGAACCTTAAATGTAAATGTTATTGTAGTAATTTATCAGAAGGCCATTATGAATGATTAAGTATACAAAAGCACACTAATGTGAGAGAGAGGAGCAAGGTAAGCGTCTGGGTGTCTGCAATCCATCACTCACCCCTAAAACTTCTTCCAAACTGTGAGGAAAGTGGGATTTGTGCCAGGGAGTGCATATGCAGCAAATTGGTAGCTACATCAAATTATTTTGGCATTAAGGCCCACGTGGCCTAATCCACTGCACGCCCCACTGCCCCTCCCCCAACTTGTAACTTTTGTCAATGTAAACTGCAGATTTCATGCTCTGCCATTCATCTGTCGGATTACGAGTGCAGTTCAGGAGGACTTAGATTTTAATGAATTCCTTTCTGGGCTTAACTTAGAGGGGGGAGTTGGAGAAAGAAGGGGCCCCTGTTGGACACAGGTTGTTGTCTCTTCCACACACACACCCCCTCTTCTTCTTTCTAATTTGTGTTTGTGTGTGTGTGTGTGTGTGTGTGTGTGTGTGTGTGTGTGTGCCCCCCGCTGTCGGCTCCCGCTTGGGTGCTGGAGTGCTGTCACACAGGGAGATGCGAGAGCTCTCCATGGTGCTGACATCTCCCTGCGTTGAGATGAGGCTCCTCGGTGCCGCAATAAATTGAATGTCTGGAGAAACGGCATTTGTAAAACAAGACAAATAATGAATTATTGTTACAGCAACCTCTCCACCCCTCCCCACTGCCTCTGTGCATATCTGTATTCTGTTTCTATTTGTTGTCTAATGCTCCCTCTCTCCTTCTTCCCTGCTCTCTCCATCCATCTATGTATCTCACCATCTCTGCTCCCTGTACAGAGCCTCTCTATTTGCATGCTGTCAGGCTGCTCCAGAGCCTCAGCTGCTCCCTGTTGCTATCTATACTAGTACACTACCTCCCTTCCTATGCTTTCATTAACTTTTAGCATGTCTCAGTGCAGCAGGCTACCACCACAACTAAGAGCAAAAATGGGAAAAAGGACTGCATAGTTTACACTGAAGAAGAAAAGTATATTAATAAGAGAATGATCAAATATCATGGGGATAAACAGCATCTGCTTCCTGAATAAAAAAAAAAAGTCAAGGTGCTTTCTAAGGAGATTGCAACTCCTTGAGAAATAAAGAAGCTGGAACCAATAACTGGTGACAAAATCAAGTCTTTCATTTTGTTACAGTTAGGAATTTATCCGTGACTTTAGGCAGGAAATTCAGCTACAGCTACTGAGATTTTCAGGTTTTGTCACCAATTAATAATAAATGAACTCCACCATTAATAAATGCACTCCCCTGTTCATACCTGTATGTGTGTATGATCCAGTCACCTGAGACTGATATTAATGCCAAGTGTGGATGAGGCCTAATAGTAAACCAACATGGCTAATAAATATACACCACTGGAGCCCTGCACACATTGGTATGGAACAAGCTTGACTACTTAATTCTACTCTGAACTCCATTTCCCAAAAATGACTTTTGTGTTATATGTGAGCCAACCTATGTAGAATCCTTGGCTTTGCTTCTTTCCACTCTCTTGCTCTCTTTGCTTGTCTTTATCTCCATCTCTGACACCAGCAGGCTCTAATCTATATTCATTAAGGACAAGAACCTAGTGCATATCACCTGGATAAGGGCTTAAGTCCACTAAGTTCTACCTGAAGCCTATTTTAATATCTTAACACCAGGCTGGTCATTACAATAAATATTAATAATGGACCACTGATGATTCGGCATGTGACACACTACTGTGGAATTTGTCCTTACGTGAGAATAGGATTTTGCCAGAGCTGGTAAGACCATTAACAGAAGCTGTCTGGTGCCACTTTCAATAAATCAGCATACTCATTTTAAGACTAAGATGCCATCAGCTCGTAACAAAAGGTCTTCTAACAGAGTCAAGTAACCAGTGGCCTTTGAATGTCTATAAAATTCGGCTATGGAGATTAATCTACAAATAGTATAACCACAAGCCAATCTCACATAAAACTCTAAGAGATTTAATTCATTTCATGTGGATGCAGTCATAAAAACAGCTACAAATGCTAAACCCTGTCCCATCTTTTAACTGATGAGAAAGTCAAGTATGACAGGACAATGCTAAATGAAGCAAGACGTTTAAAAAATAGAGTAGTGGGGATTGCTGTTCTACAAACATGTATGTATGGAAAAGCAAGTGGTCAGAGACAATCACATAATCAAAAGAATCAGCAACAATGGTTCCAAGTTAAGGAAAAACATAGACAGCAATAATACAATATACTGTATACTAATACAATATATACTGCGGAGCAGTTTAGCTCACCTTCCCCACT